CAGTGTATTGGCACACATCATTGATGTAAAATTTATTTTCTAAAAACAAGACATTGAAATTAGTCTATTTGTAATTGTTATGTGTATTTGATTTTTTATGTTCTTTGAAAAGGTGATCAGTATAGATATCTGGAAAAATCTTGAAGAACTTTGATAGATATATCTCCGCCATGATCATAATTATATAGAAAGCTAATTATAAATTCTGTACCACTTAAATAGAAATATTCACCTTTATCTTGTAAACCGATGATTGTAAAATCCTTCATCAGTTTAAACTGTTATTTTTTCAAAATACAATAACATTTATTTTGATTTGTATATTTTATGTATTATCCAATCTGAACATCTGTACAAGATTGTGCACAAAGACAAGCATCCATATAAAACCTATATCGATTTGCAGACAAAACTTCGAGAATTAAAACCAGAAAGAGATTACTTCCACCCAACAAAAGATTTGAATCCAGGAATGGACATTCTTTTGAACAAGAATCAAGGATATACAGTCTTTTTGTCCAGAAATCCAGGTGAGGGTAAGACAATAGCTGGTCACATGTTACTTTCTGAAATGAAGAAAAGTGAGAAAACATGCTTAATTCTGAATGATCCTAAAAAGGTATGTAACCCCGAAGCTTGTGGATGTCATTATGGCTGATAACATATTCAGCACTAAAAGACTAAAGCAGGAAGAGAAGACAAAAATATTAATTAGTCAAGAACTAAGAAATAAAAAGTTTTTTATCTAACAAAAGATGAACAGAAAAAGGACTGTTTGGAATTCACTAGCCTATTTGGGCTTCCTTTGTGCCACCAGGTATTTGCTTCTGACACTAAGACAGAATTTTGTTACAAGAACTCCTTAGGCACTGGAATTAAAGAATTGTGGATAAAAGATACAGACATTTAGAGAACTGGATTTTGGTTTGCTTGCTTTAAAGGTTCAGCTTGGGTAAGGTTGTCTTTATCAAACATTGGCAAAGAAGAGATAAGACATTGTTGCACATTTGAACATCTATCTCTCCCATAACTTTTCAATTGATGAATGAATTTTTCGTAGAAGTTTGCTTGATACATCACAAACCAGCTTCATGGCAATCTAGAGGTTACATGTTTACTCCTGAAGTTATTGAGGAAGCCTTTGGGAGAGTCCTCACAGAAATTAAACCAGATACAATATGGAAGTATGGAATTTCTAGTGAACTGTATTTGTACTGTAAAATGGAACAATGCAAGAACAGAAACACCCTCTGTGGACTACTGAGAAAACTTAAAATCTGATTGAAAAAGTATTATGATCATCTGTTGCAGTGACTGATGGTCTAATTAAAAGACTTTGGTGATGAATTTGTGGATGTTCAACATTCAGCTTCTGAAGATTCAAACTTTCTTGACTTCTTGAGAAATTGAATGAGACAGGAATAAATGAAACTCATAAGTAGAAGATATGGGGTTCCATGAGGCTTCACAAAGACCTTATTTTTCAAGGAGGCACTCGAGCAAAATACACTAAATTTAATTTGTGAGAAGAATGTTGGAAAAGAGACTTTATATCGAATTGATGACAAAAATGGGTGCAAAAACAGAAACAAGTCATGTTTTCTGCAATGTACTAATTGCTGATAAAAGAGTGTGTAGTAATCACAAGTGATGCTTTCATCAGAACAACAATTGCAGGAAATATGGAGATTGTTGAAGACCTCTTCTGAAGAACATATATTAGTCAGGAGAATGCTATGTACAACACATGACTTGCTTTGTTTTCCAAAAGTGGTTTCCTTGACCTTGTGAAGCTCTACATTATAAAAGGTTCAAACATCGATCCTGAGTCTCTTCCATATAAGGAAACTCCCTTGTATCAAGCAATCGTTCATGGACATGAAGATATTGTTTGTTTCCTGATTGCCAAAAGTCCTGATGTGAATAAGAACCCAACAATAAAGATACTGAATTCTTGCCTTCACTTAGCCTGCCAGTTTATTCAGGCACAAGTCGTTAATGCTTTGCTTGAGACAGATCTCCAGGTGAATAAGAAGAACGAGGATTGTGTGGCACCTTTGCATTTTGCATTGATGTTCAAACATGGGTGAATTTCAAAGAACTCATAAAAGGGGGTTGTGATATTAACCTGAGCAGTGTACAACTGAACTAAACACCTTTGCACATATCCTCAGAAATGGGATTTGAAAATTTAAAAAGCAAAAGATAAGGGCCATTCGCCAATGCATTACATGTACAGTCACAAAGATATAGTTTTGATGTTGATGGAATAAAATGCAGATCAATCAGAATCCAGATCTTTAAAGCATGGATGCAAAAAGATTATGAAAGGCTTAATTCCTATCCATAATTCTCTGAGTAGAGGCTTTGTAGATGTACTGAGGTTCTTAATACAACTTGGCATCAATGCTGATCTTCCAGAATTGTATGGTGGGTCTACATTGTATCATGCAGCTTGGTTTGGACATCAGGAAGTTGTTAAGGAACTTTTTTAACGAAAATATTGATGTTAATTGCAAAGAAAAGAAATATGGCTTCACTCCATTGCATTTTGTAAGAGATAGATGGTATGCAGGTATAATGGACAAGTTCAGTCAGCATAACAGGATGCAAGTACCAGACAGAAGAACTGAACTCCACATTGCATCAACACTGTCAATTTTGCTCAAGTTTCAGGCAGACCCAAGATGTCAAAGTGAGAATCTTCATGTGTTGAAGATTGCTGGTGACACTGAAATGCTTCTGGATGAAGACTGCTCATTAATAAATGAGAAAAACAAAGTTTTTAGTTTGCCATTTTAAATGATCTCAAAAATGGGTGGTGATGTTCTGAAAGAAGTCAAAAAGTTTGAGGGGATGGATTTAGATCAATCATATTTTTCCATGCTGTTTATACCTGCTGTTGACACAGATAATTCCATACAAGCCAAACATATTTTCGATACAATTTGTATCATTTTATTGTTCATAGTGATATCATTCACTTCTTGCAACAATTACCTTTACTTTCAATATATCTGAAAGTTCATTTAAATCATTTTTATAAACTTTGAAACTTGCTTCTCCTTAATGAACACTATCTGTGAAACTAATATTTTAAAGCATTTAATATTTAATTATTTAATATTTTAATTCCTTTCATACTTTGCTAATGCTAATCACATTTGCTAAGAACTATCATAAACTACTGATTCATCGCTCATTGCTGGCATGAATATTCACTAAAACTGAATTAAATGATAAAACTAAAACCAGAATTTCACTCAACAAGATTTAATTTACATTGTATTGACCCTAGTAGGCATTACTCACATTTTCAGTAATGTATATTTTTTCGCTTATTTTTATTTACCATGTATTGATGTTTCTAAATTTCTAGCCACTAGCCACCATTTTCAAACATGAAAGGAGTTATATATGGAGGTTTCATTTACAAATTTTTTGATTGTTATTTTCATGTTCAAGAAATAGGGATTAATTCATATGTTATTTTCAACGGAAAAAAGCGGTATCCATGCCTGTCTCCTTATTATATGTGAGTTTGTAAATTACTTAAGGTGTGTGTACTTGTTAAGAAATATTGAAATTTTTAAATGTTTCCACCCAGAAAATTTAAATTAAAGCCTACATTTAAAAAGTAAGAATTATCAATGATGATTATATATTCATCTTGGGTGACATTTATTTGTGAAACTAAGTAAAATCAACATCTGCTATTACTACTTTATATATATATATATATATATATATATATATATATATATATATATATATATATATATATATATATATATATATATATATATATAAAACTTAAACATCAAAATGACCATGTTACTTTTCGATATCCCATGACAACAATCAGGTTTAAAATTATAAATTAATGCATTAAATGGCAACATTTTGTGTAATTTTGACTAATATGGTGAATTTGCTGTTTTTATATCAGTAAAAGATTGTGGGACTACAAACTACCAGAGTGGTGTAAGTGTCCCACAAGGAACTGTGCTGGGACCACTCCTTTTACTTTACCATATCCTAGGTTGTGTGAAATCTCAGGTAAGGTTGTTTGCAGATGACTGTCTACCTTACAGAACAATTCCATAATTGAGTTACCACCATAGCCTCCAGAATTATCTCACAGCCCTCGAAAAATGGGCGACTGATTGGGATATAACTTCCAATGCCACTAAATGTTACCTCATGGGTCTGACAAGTAAACCAACAAAATCATCTCCCTTCTACACCTTTAATAACCACTTACTACAACAGGTCAGTGAAAACTCTTATCTTGGACTAACTCTATCTGAGGACTTCAAGTGGGAATTACATATCAAATCTACTAAGTACTAAGAAGGCAAACACTACACTAGCATTTCCTAATAGAAACCTCAGACACTGTCCATGGACATGTAAATGTACTGTGTATCGCACACATCAGGTACATGTTAGAATATGATTGACTGTGTTGTCTGGGATCCGTGCTACATTAGGTGCTACATTACATAGCACGTGCTACATTACGGATGTTGAGAACTGTAAAAGAACTGAAGATCACAATGCAGCACATGACAGGAAATATACCTAGTGTACTTGCTTACAAGTCTACCTAAATGGATTTATCTACTTGTTATACTGATTATTCCTAAGTAACTGCATAGACCAGATCTGCATGCACATTATACATCAGTTAATCTGGGTGTGAGCAGTTTTCAGATGGACTTCTAAGTGAGGATATACTTAAGGCAAAGATGAAATAAATGATGTTTGGTTTGGTGTTTATAATTTTTAACGTAGCTTTAACAATTTTTCAGTTATATCTCTTGGATGTCTGCAGTGTGGCAGTTTATAGTGATGTCTAGCACTGAGGCATCATGTAGCATGATGTCCCACCCAGTCACATTATCCTGACACACAGGCCGACTAGTCCTAACACTAAAATCTTAATGCTGAGCATCAAGCGAGGCAGCTGTTAGCACCATTTTTGTAAGTCTTTGGTATGACTCGACTGGGGATTGAACCCACGACCTCCCACATCTGAGGCAGATGCTCCAACCACTAGGCCACCAGAGCAGTTAATAAATGTTAATAAATAATAATAATAATAATAATAATAATAATAATAATAATAATAATAATAATAATAATAATAATAATAATAATAATAATAATAATAATAATAAATGATGTAAAATTAGACTTCCTTTTAACACTGGTTAACAAAATAAGAATTTTTAAAAAAAATCTCTTCAGTGATGCCAGCTTACATTCCAATTGGATGCAACTTTTGCTCTACATAACCATGTGGTAATTATCTAACTCTTGGCACTTTTATATCTGATTCAAAAATGAAAACAACAAGAAGACACAATTTGTATTAATGTATTTTTGATAAAGTTTATAATTCATATAATATTAATTTGATTAATACATGTTTCCCTGGACAATGTAAATATCTTAACACAATTGTCATATGAACCTTATTGTGAACCTTAGTGACCTAGCAGAAAAATAATATTATAATTGGCTGTAGATTGAATATTTAGCAAGGTACATATGACATGATCATATAAATACCTCAATACAAAGCATTACATTTCTGTTGACAGCATAAACCTGCAAGTTAACCTGCTTCTGGAAAAATTCCAGAAACATTAAGGTCACCAAATTATAAACCAACCACCAGGTTTCATAAATATTATTCACAGATGTGAAATAGAGATTTGTCCATCTCATATTTTCCTTTAGGGGATGACTTTGATGTCAAAAGCTCGCATTTATAAGATTTCTCTGTTTTGTAAATGTTCATTATAATCCCCACTTTTTATTTTGTCTTTTTTGCCATCCTTTACCATTTTGTTGTCATTCAAAAATGTATCATTCACTGGTGATAAATTTTATGCCAAAAGTGTTTTCCTTTCTAAATTTATGCAAGTTTGTTCAAAAGTCTTATTTTAAAATGTAATACACCATGAAACCTCTCGCAACTGAATGATCTTGAAAATGAATACTCCTCATATCCTTAACTTACATTAAAATTAACTCTGTATATACATCCAAAATCGGAATTTTGTTTAGTTAAGCCTAATTATTGTTTGGTCTGGAGGCATTCTGTTTTGCTAATATCTCCTCCCATTCAATGGTGGAGGAATCAACTTCTTCAACAAAAGAACATATTTCACTTGGCAAGAGACAATGCAAGTCCTTCAGTGATGGCATTTCCAGTACTTGCTAAGAGCTGTTCCATTAAAAAGGTAAATAGGATCCAAAGATGGCACTTTTAAAGTGGGTTACCCACCCATAGATGCAATTTAAAATTTCTTATTTCAAAAAACTGCATGCCCTTTGAACCATGTGTGTTTAAATGGAACAACCCTAAGTAATAAAAATTAAATATCTTTTCTCTAAAAGCTTATGTCATGGCAGTAACACAAATACATGGTTTGAGCACAACATATATACACTCTGATGAACTTTTAGTGGCAGTAATTAACCTTATGTTTAAACAGCAAGAAAACTTTACAACAAAGTACATTAGAATAGATGCATTAAAGCATCATAAATGTCTACAAAATCATCTTCGTCATCTGAAGAATCATCTTTCAATTCATCCATTAACTTTTGCAGATCACTTCTGGAATAAATCTGGTTGGAAGTTTTGCTGGTACTGGAAGTTGGACTAATATCAAGGTCCATAACTTAGTCACTTCCTATACTTTCTGACTGAAGAACTGTCACTGAAGATGGAAAGATCCTCACTGAGTTTCACATTATCTCGGCGCTTTTTGGTCATTGAACCATCCAATACTGACATAGGAGAACCAGATCTCTTTCTAATTTCTGATTTCAGTTTTTGATTTAGAGATTTCTCCGTCTCATTTTTTCCTTTAAGAGATGACTTTGATGTCAAAAGCACACATTTATAAGATTTCTCTCTTTTGTAAATGCTCTTTATAATCCCCACTTTTTGTTTTGTGCTTTCAGATGAACCACATGATTTTTCATCCTTGACATATTTTTTATCAGCCTTGACCTCAACTTCTTTTCTGTCAGCCTTGACCTAGTCTTTTTTGCCATCCTTTATCTTTTTTATGTTATCTTTGGCATCCTTTTTGTGCTCTTTTTTTTTGTCCTCCTTTGCCTCTGCAATCTGGGATTATCCAGTGGGCTGCACAAGCACCTGCAATGGAAAATCAGCATAAGAAATAAGTATTCATAAAAATGTAGCATCAAGGTCATTTAAGATACACTAAATTGGGTGTATTATAGAAAGGTAGACAAATGTAACTCTACAATGATACCCAAAACTAAAATCTGATTTTGTGTCTGGATTTTACACTTTTTGGCCTGAGATTGCACACAACAGGTGAACCTTTGCAAAAAACAGGATATGATCAGCATTTGGAATAAAAAGTGGTCTGGATACAAAAATGATAGCTCTATTTTACCTATATCCTCGTATATGAGCAAGCTAGCCAATGAAAATCAATATTTCTAACAAAATTAGGCATTATATTAACCAGAAATCTCTTGGAAGTTGATGTATTAGGATGTATTCAGAAATAGCACCAAAAATGTATTTCCTACTTGCATTTCAGGCAAAAATGACAAACGTCAAAGGGTTAATGAGTTAAATCACACAAGTCTGTGACAACCATCATTTTAAATGTGTGCAAATCAGCAACAAAATGAATGGATACGATTTTATCTATTAATTATCAGCTTTGTTGCATAATTGTATTCATGCCTATCACTTTCACAAGCATTAGAGTAATTTTATATAAATATATAAATATATAACCTTAGGGTAATTTGATAAAAATAGTATAACCAGTCACATTAAATACTCAGAAAGTAGTTCACAAAAAGAGATGATTATTTACCCCAAAATGTACAAATTTTCAAGCAAGTACCATAGTTTATCTTATGATACAAAAGCAAAAACAAAAGACTAAATATGATATCATATGTATTTGCTCATTACATCGTGTTTGAAAAAAAAATGTGTTAAAAATTGGACCTATTTTAGAATATAAAGATATGCATAAATATATATCAATTTGCCATATAGTATATTTATCAGTACATGAATATTCTTCTCCATTATCAAAAGAAAACTAATTACAGGTCAACTTATTCTTACATACCCCTCCAGCTTTGATCAACTTCTTCGTAAAGTTGTCTGTTGGGTTTTGAAATGTCAGTTTTTCAAAACGAAGATAGCTAACTGGCTCATGTGTCTCCAGAATCAGATCATAGTTGAGCTTGATCTTCTTCGTTTTTGTGTTCTTCAAGTGGATTGAAATTGGGAGACGAAATCCATCATATCCAAATTCTGTTACATAGTAGGGAGGTTCCATTACCACTGGAAAAGATTGAATGAAAAACTAGTTAGTGTTTAACTACATCTGAAACAAATTGAGTGCCTTTGCATCATGTAGAGAAATTTCTGCAGTTTCTTACATACCCCTCCAGCTTTGATGAGCTTTTTCTTACATTTGCCTGTTGTGTTTTGGAAGGTTAATTTTTCACACCAAAGATAATTGGCTCATGCTTCTGCAGAATGAGATCATAGTTCAACTTGATCTTCTTTGCCTTTTTGTTCTTTAAGTGGATGGAAATCAGCAGACTAAAGTCAGCATATCCCAACTCAATCACATAGTAAGGAGTTTCCTTTACCACTGGAAAAGATTGAATGAAAATCTAGTTAGGGTTTAACTACATCTGAAAAATCTTAGTGCTTTTGCATTATGAAGAGAATTTTCTGCAGTTTTATTAATGGATTAAAAATCAGATCTGCTTATCAAACACAAAAAAATGATTTAATATTTAAGCAAATTTAAAGACCTTCAATAACCTAAGGGAACTAAAATCAAGGTCTTGAAATGAGTTATTCATTCTCAATTACTTTCAGTGATCCTTTATGTCCATGTGAACATTGTAGAAAATTGTATTGTAGTATTCTAGACAAAGCATATATCAATTTGCCATGTAGTACATAAATCAGTACATCAATATTCTTCTCCATTATCAAAAGAAGAATAATTATAGGTCAACTTATTCTTATATACCCCTCCAGCTTTGATAAGCTTTTTCTTACATTTGTTTGATGTGTTTTGGAAGGTCAATTTTTCACACCAAAGATAATTGGCTCATGCGTCTGCAGAATGAGATCATAGTTCAACTTGATCTTCTTTGCCTTTTTGTTCTTTAAGTGGATGGAAATCAGCAGACTAAAGTCAGCATATCCCAACTCAGTCACATGGTAAGGAGTTTACTTTACCACTGGAAAAGATTGAATGAAAATCTAGTTAGGGTTTAACTACATCTGAAAAATCTGAGTGCTTTTGCATTATGAAGAGAATTTTCTGCAGTTTTATTATTGGATTAAAAATCGGATCTGCTTATCAAAGACAAAAAAATGATTTAATATTTAAGCAAATTTAAAGACCTCCAATAACCTAAGGGAACTAAAATCAAGGTCTTGAAATGAGTTATTCATTCTCAATTACTTTAAGTGATACTTTATGTCCATGTGAACATTGTAGAAAATTGTATTGTAGTATTCTAGACAAAGCATATATCAATTTGCCATAATGTACATAAATCAATACATCAATATTCTTCTCCATTATCAAAAGAAGAATAATTATAGGTCAACTTATTCTTATATACCCCTCCAGCTTTGATAAGCTTTTTCTTACATTTGTTTGTTGTTTTGGAAGGTCAATTTTTCACACCAAAGATAATTGGCTCATGCGTCTGCAGAATGAGATCATAGTTCAACTTGATCTTCTTTGCCTTTTTGTTCTTTAAGTGGATGGAAATCAGCAGACTAAAGTCAGCATATCCCAACTCAGTTACATGGTAAGGAGTTTACTTTACCACTGGAAAAGATTGAATGAAAATCTAGTTAAGGTTTAAGTACATCTGAAAAATCTTAGTGCTTTTGCATTATGAAGAGAATTTTCTGCAGTTTTATTATTGGATTAAAAATCGGATCTGCTTATCAAACACAAAAAAATGATTTAATATTTAAGCAAATTTAAAGACCTCCAATAACCTAAGGGAACT